TGACTGACTGACGGAGAGACTAACTGACTATCTCCTCCTGCCATCCCTCTTTTTCCTCCTCTTCCACCTCCTTATCTTTCCTTTTCCATCCGACTTGCCACATCTTCCCTCTACTATAAACCATTTCTCTTCCATTTATCTTCCTCTGTCTCCCCATACTTGTCTTTCTTCTCCTCCTCCTCCTCCTCCTCTTCTCTCCCCCTCTTCCTCCTGTACGTCTTAGCTATATCCTTTCCCTCGTAAACCATTTATTTTTCTATTTTTTTATATTTTCTACTGTCTTCTCCCCCTACTTATTGTTCCCCTTCTCTTTCTTCTTCGTCTTCTCCTCCTCTTCCTCTTTCCTTCCTTCTTTTGCCCTTCCACCTCCATCTCTCTCATCCCTTCTATTTTCCTCTCCTTCTCCTCCTCCTCCTCCCTTCCCTCGCATCTCCCCTCTCTTTCTTCTCCTCCTCCTTTATCCTCCTTTGTTTCAACATACTTACTGTAAAATGTTGATGACTCTTCCCCCTCTCTGACCACTGTCCGTCTCCCCTCATATAGCAGTAAGGATACTCTCTCTCTCTCTCTCTCTCTCTCTCTCTCTCTCTCTCTCTCTCTCTCTCTCTTGTCTCACCTTCTCTCTCCCTGTTCTTCTTCTGCTTATTCCCTCATTTTCTTTTTCTTGTCTTAAATCTCACCCTCTTCCCTTCTCTTTGTTTCTCAATCTCTATCTCTCTTTCTCTCTCTCTCTCTCTCTCTCTCTCTCTCTCTCCCTCTCTTTCATTCTTTCTTTGTTGCATTCTCTCCTTGTCCCTTGTTTTAATCACCCTCTTTACCTGTCTTGCTTTCTCCTTTCTTCCTTCCTTCTCTGGCTCTTTCCCTCCTTCCTTCTCTTATTCTCTCCCTTCTTCCTTCCCTTACTCCCTCCTTCCCTGGCTGTCTGTCTGTGTGTTTAGTCTGTCAGTTTGACTGCTTGTGTTTATACTTCTGACTTCTTATGTGTGTATGTACATAACACATGTACGTATAAATGTGTACGTATTACATGTAGGTATATAATTGTGTGTAGTGTATGTATGTATGAATGTATGTATGTATGTTGCTAATTTAGTTATTATTATTATTATTATTACATCAATAGTACTTACACGAATTTGCCATTAACGTGTAAATATATTAATAATTCAGAAGTATTGACTACAGACAGGCAGACAGGCAGGCAGACAGACAGACAGACAGACAGACAGACAGACAGACAGAGATCAAATAGATAACAGACTGACAACAAACACTCATATTCACGTGATCAATTTAGTTAGGTTAGGTCAGGTCAGGTGAGGTCAGGTAAAAGTGGTTCTCACATTTACAGGTTTTTAATTATGTTAGAAAGCTAAGAACAGGTTGTAAGATATTGTAACCCAGGTAAGATTAATTAGTTTGGGTCAAGACATGTTTCGAACTTGTAAATAAACATCCAGGTTTAGACCCGTTCAATACTTGTTTTAACTCGGTCCTGTCTTGGTGTTTCCTCCCTTCCTTCCCTTACTCTTTCCCTCCTTCCTTCCTTCCCTTACTCTCTCCTTCCTCCCCCCATTCTCTCCCTCCTTCCTTCCCTTACTCTCTCCTTCCTCCCCCCATTCTCTCCCTCCTTCCTTCCTTACTCTCTCCCTCCTTCCTTCCCTTACTCTCTCCTCCTTCCTTCCTTCCCTTACTCTCTCCCTCCTTCCTTCCTTCCTTCCCTTACTCTCTCCTTCCTTCCCCCCATTCTCTCCCTCCTTCCTTCCCTTACTCTCTCCCTCCTTCCTTCCCTTACTCTCTCCCTCCTTCCTTCCCTTACTCTCTCCCTCCTTCCTTCCTTCCCTTAGTCTCTCCCTCCTGACATACTCTCTCTCCTTCCTTCCTTCCTTAGACTCTCCCTCCTTCCTTCTTACTCTCTCCCTCCTTCCTTCCTTCCCTTACTCTCTCCCTCCTTCCTTCCTCCCTTCCCTTACTCTCTCCTTCCTCCCCCCATTCTCTCCCTCCTTCCTTCCCTTACTCTCTCCCTCCTTCCTTCCCTTACTCTCTCCCTCCTTCCTTCCTTCCCTTAGTCTCTCCCTCCATCCTTCCGTAAACAAACGTCTTATGGCACAAACACTGACTATACAAATCTCTAGATGTACAAAATTACCTTATGACTACATACATGGGTTATATTGCCCTGTTGCCAGTCATGGTTAAAAGTGTGATGTTAATTGCTATACTAAGTTAATAAATAAGACAATAACTATTACCTTAACTTATAAATCTTTTTGTCTACAGAATTAACATTTTGCCACCAGAAGTACATAGTTGTTTAGTAAAAGTAGGGATTTGTTTTTTTAATGGAGTAACTTTTGTTAAGGTAATTGACTCTAGGAAAGTGACTCTTACGAACGTCTTTTGTTTTTAAGAGAAGATTTTTTATTTAATATTTTTTTTTTTTTTTATGTAAGTAAAGATTTCCTCCAACCCTCTCCTCTCCCCCAGTCTTCCCCTCACTCCCCCTTCACCCAGTCTTCCCCTCACTCCCCTTCACCAAGTCTTCCCCTCCTCCCCCCTTCACCCAGTCTTCCCTCCTCCCCTTCACCCAGTCTTCCCCTCACTCCCCAGCCATAAACTAGAGCCACGTCGCCGTCCCCTCACCACACCGCCGTCAAGCCGGGTCCTCTCCCCTCTCCTTCCTCTTATTTCTTTTACCTCCCATAAACCTTTTCCCCTCCCCTCCTCCTCCTTGCCCATCACGACCCTCGCCACGATAAAACACCGCCCTTCCCCTCTCTCCCCTCGCCTTCCCTACCGCCCTCACCCTCCCTCTCCATAATTCCCTTAACCACTGTTCCCCTCTCTACCCATCTCCCTTCCCCTCACTCTACCTCGTGTGTCCTTTCCTACCTTCCCTCTCCCTATCGTCCTTTCCCTACCATCTCCTTCCTTCTTTATTTTCCCCCTCATTCTTCCTCCCTATCTCCCCAAATTTCCCCCTATTTCCCCTCTACCTACTGTACCTTCCTTTACCTCTGACTGACTTCGTTTCCCATCTCCCCTCAGCACCTCCCCTCTTCCCTCCCTTGAGTCCTTCCCCTCAACCTCCCCTCGCTACGAAAACAGAAGTGAGGGGTCGCGGGCGTGGGCCACTGGAGAGGTCTTGGGGCGTAGGTAATGAGGGGATAGGGAGAGTGAGGGGAAAGAGTGATGGGACAGGTGGGAGGGTGATGGGACAGGTGAGTGGACAGGTGAGGGGATGATTAAGAAGGTAAACAAAAAAAACATTTCTTCCCCACCACTACTACCACCCTCAACCACCACTCCCACCACCTACTACCACCACCCCCACCACTACTACCACCCCCCAACCACCTACCACCACTATCACCAGCCGACCACCGGGGCTCAGGTGTCAGCTGCAGGTAGGAGGCACCATGGTACAAACACTAATTTGACATCCGGAACAAAATATTATGAATGATGGGAAGACTCGGGTGATAATGCCTGATTAAAGGTGGTGACACAAGGCAAACACCACACACTCGTATATTTCCACAGTGATTCGTCCGGTGTCACTTCTATTCGTCCGGTGTCACTTCTATTCGTCCGGTGTCACTTCTATTCGTCCGGTGTCACTTCTATTCGTCCGGTGTCACTTTTATTCGCCCGGTGTCGCTTCTATTCGTCCGGTGTCACTTCTATTCGTCCGGTGTCATTTCTATTCGTCCGATGTCACTTCTATTCGTCCGGTGTCACTTCTATTCGTCCGGTGTCACTTCTATTCGTCCAGTGTCATTTCTATTCGTCCGGTGTCACTTCTATTCGCCCGGTGTGTCATTTCTATTCGCCCGGTGTCACTTCTATTCGTCCGGTGTCATTTCTATTCGTCCGATGTCACTTCTATTCGTCCGGTGTCACTTCTATTCGTCCGGTGTCACTTCTATTCGTCCGGTGTCATTTCTATTCGTCCGGTGTCACTTTTATTCGCCCGGTGTCACTTCTATTCGTCCGGTGTCACTTCTATTCGTCCGGTGTCATTTCTATTCGCCCGGTGTCACTTCTATTCGTCCGGTGTCATTTCTATTCGCCCGGTGTCACTTCTATTAGTCCGGTGTCACTTTTATTCGTTCAGTGTAGGTGTCACTTTTATTCGTTCAGTGTACTGTTTCGCCTCAGTTTGTTTTAAGAGGTAACACACTCAGCAAAACACTCAGTAACACACTTAGTAACACACTCAGTAACACACTAAGTCACCAGAGGGTCTCGGCTGCCCCCTTCCTCCATGACCAGTGTTAAGTAAGAGCCGAGAGGAAAAGAGCGCTACTTAACTTTCATGATTGTGTAGGAGTGTCATCACCCCTGTCCAAATATTTATGCCTTACAAATATCAACCAGAAAATAAACACACAAGGCAACTTCAAATATAGATAAATAAAATGACATAAATAACACATACAATGACATAAATAACACATACAATGACATAAATAACACATACAATGACATAAATAACACATACAATGACATAAATCACAGTAACTTAAAATCACACAGAAACCAAAACAAAACCAGATGCAGAGGATCATCGTGTACGGAGTGAACGAAAATGGTTGATAACAAAAGTCACGGTACCTATACCTTTTTTCTTCCAGCCTTAACAAATGACTGATACAAGAGGCCAAAGAGGATTTAAGCCGGGTAATTTGATGGTGACATTGGATTTAACTCCTTCAAGGTACTCGCCGACGCTATTGTGTGTGTGTGTGTGTGTGTGTGTGTGTGTGTGTGTGTTCTCTTGCCGACTGCTTATACCCCCTCCGCTTTCGTCACGGCTCCCCCCTCCCACCCCCACACACGTTATGAATGAAGGATTTTTACTCTAGGATTCATACTCTAGGACTCTTACCCGAGGATTCTTACCCTAGGACTCTTACCCTAGGACTCTTACCCCGAGGACTCTTACCCTAGGACTCTTACCCTAGGACTCTTACCCTAGGACTCTTACCATAGGACTCTTACCCGAGGACTCTCACCAATGGACTCTTACCCACGGACTCGTTAACCCCCGTCTTGGTGTACTGAGTGAGAGTTAAATAATGTTAAAGTGAATAAGTTAAAGGTAAGCTTCCTCTGTAATAAACCCTTCACTTATAAGGTTTCACTTCAGCTATGATACCCCCTCCGATGCTCCACTTGACGTGAGGTTGAAAGTGACCAGGTGTCATCAGATAAAAAAAAAATACCTAAGCAGATGTGATATAGAGTGGAAAACTTAACTACGAATGAAAGAGAAATAAAAAGAACTAAATAAAGAATAGAGAGAGAAAGGAAAACTGTGTTAAAAGGATGAAATATTGACAATAATTATAATTGGATACAAGAATAAGATTACCAACATAGGACTGTGAACAACGAAGAATTTCAAATGATCTTTCAAAATGACTTTAATCCCTAAGAGAAAGATAAATCCGACTTAAACTGAACAAAGACAACGCCTAAGCCCCCCTACCGTTCAATATGGCTTCCTTACACATCACGGTAAGTCGGAGTTGACAGTTTACAATAGCAGTGCACCTGAGAACTGATTTCCTTTAAATATTTATCATTATTATTATTATTATTATAGTTATTATTCTTATTACTATCATCATTAGTCGCTATTCATATTACTATCATCATCATCATTATTATTATTATTTAACTTGTGACTAAGAAGCTGTGTTTGTTTACACTCTGAGGTATAGGGAAAGATTCAACAGCATCAGGCTCCCGCAAGCACCTAGTACACGTGTTTATCTAGGCAGAAGGAAAGCGAACGTTCGTCTGACGATTTTTTATTCAACATTTCATTGCATGGTAGAAAAAAAAAACACCTAGCGCCTCTGTTGTGTAGTGGTGACAACACTGGCTGGTACACAAGAGGGTGAAGCAACATGGTAGGTGGGAGCATCAGTGTGGGGTTCATTATGTGGGCTGACCAGCACAGTTGGGGCGTGATTAATGACCTGACCACATGACACCTACACTCAAGGGCTTGACTCTTGTTGTGTTGTGAAGGTGATGATCCATAACCCCCGTGTGTGTGTGTGTAAGTCGTACAGGGTCTATAGTTTACACATTCAGTTCTCACATGAATAAGTTAAATCGTTCTGAATATGAAGATAACACATAAAACATACATCAACATTCATTCACATAACACAACATCATCACCAGCCATCAGTTAGTTCCCTTCAATCAAACCTTCGTATTAGTCACCTCCTCCATGCTTATCCTCTCTTGACTCTGGCATTACCTTCCCCTCAAATCTTTCAAGCAACCTACGACTTTTTTAACCTAAGACAAACCCATACCTCAAGGAAAGGGGGAGGAGGAGGAGGAGGAGGAGGAGGAGGAGGAGGAGGAGGAAGAACAGGAGGAGGAACAGGAGGAGGAGGACACTCGAAGCATTTCCGTAGACCACCAGGGGAGTGTCGCTGGACTGGTTGAGTCACTGTGTCTTGATTCGCCACCATCACCAGCAGAGGGATGATGATGATGATGATGATGATGATGATGATGATGATGCACTCAAAACACTAACACCCATTTTTAAGCTTCTTCAATTTCCGAACTATTAGTCCCTATTTCTCCCTCTTCTAATCATATGTTAATCCCCTATTCTCCTTCTCTAAACGAATCCACCTCTATGTGTCCTTGTGTATTAATCTATCATTGTTTACACCATCAACAACGACGTGCAAGGGAGTGGATCAAGGGCCCACATCACCTGATAAACTTCGCCTTATACAAACACACGAATATCTTACATACTTCCTGAGAAAAAAAAATGCAGGCAGAAGGGACCCATTTCATACATGGTACTCTGTATACAGACATAAATTATAAATATATACATTATTTAAAGACTGTTGCTTACAAGGTGGGGTAGAGTGTGTCCTAGGGAGAATATTCCAGAAGTATGAGGCTTAGCGTAAGTTGCCGCTAAGTGTGTGTGTCTAAATTTGAGTTAGAAGAGAGGAAATTTAGTAGGGTAGGCAGCCAGGGGGAAATTACTGTATGTATACCATGTGTAGAGGGAAATTATACCCTTTAGGATGATGAGGTTTGATTGGTTGTTTTGGTTTGATTTCACGACACTTAACCTGCATAAAAATTTCGAATCTGTTAAGTGAGATACAAATTACCCAAACACATCTGAGTTGTTTAGGTTCACACACACACACACACACACACACACACACACACACACGACAAAATGAACACATAAGCTTCGGTAAACAAAAGAGAAGGATTAGTCAGATTTTGTTCCTCGTCCTTAAGTTTTTGTTTTTTATGGTTGAACTTAAGAGGAAACAGATTTATTTTTTTTAACTTTACTTCTTTACCCTGGCTGGAGTAAACAGGGGAGAGAGGTAGACAAGGTCAGTTCAAGGTCAGGTTAGAGCAAGACAAAACAAGTTATAATGAAAAATATTGTTCATGGGGTTGCTTAAGGGCTTCCTACCCTGCCCTACCCTGCCCTGCCCTGCCCTACCCTACCCTGCCCTGCCCTGCCCTGCCCTGCCCCTACCCTGCCCTACCCCTACCCTGCCCTGCCCTGCCCCTGCCCTATCCTACCTACCCCTACCTACCCTGCCCTACCCCTACCCTGCCCTGCCCTGCCCTGCCCTGCCCCTGCCCTACCCTACCCTACCCTGCCCTACCCTACCCTATCCTGCCCTGCCCAATATGTGTTTGTCTTCTATTTCCTATCCTTCCTACCTCCTCTTCCTTACCGTTCCTCTTCCCTCATTCCTTCCATCACCTTCTCCCTACCGTTCCCCATTCTCCTCCTTCCCGTTCTTCTTCCTTCATTCACCTTTTCCCTCTCGTTTATCTTCCTCCATTTTCCTTCTCCTTACCTGTTCGTTTTTCCTTACATTTTCCTCTTCCTCATCTCACCCTTCTTGTTGCCATGTTTCCATCTACTCCTCTTCCTTCCTCCTCCTTCTGTCTCACTTCCTTCCTACAATCTTCCTCTCCTGCCTTCTCTTCCTTTTTCGTGTTCTGTCTCCTCCTGTACGTACATGTATGTGTGTTTGTATGTGTGTGTGTGTGTATGTGTGTGTGTGTGTGTGTGTGTGTGTGCACCAAGGCCAGCTGGTCACACAAGATACACACGCCTCTTCTATCTCTCACTAATCCTCTCTCTCTCTCTCATCCTCACTTCCTGTACATTGTTTACATCCTGTGCTTCCTCATTTATCCCTATCCTCATCCCCACCTTTATTACACGTTCGCTACACCTTCCATTTTGCTTCTTTTCTTATTATTATTTTTATAATTTTGTCACTATTATATTTATTATTTATCTGGTTTTCTAATTTATTTTTCTCTTTTTTAATGTTTTAGTTATTAATTTTGTCTTCCTTTCACCCAGTGTGTGTGTGTGTGTGTGTGTGTGTGTGTGTGTGTGTGTGTGTGTGTGTGTGTTGATCTCGTTTTGGCGAGCTGGGGAGTGATACTAGGTTATGCTGTAGATCTGACCGTGTTATCTCCTGTTATCAAGATCAAATGTGAAAAAAAAATGAAGAAAAAAAATCACTCCACTTCACCGGGTTTTTGTTAAAGTGTTAAATAAAAGTCATGATTGTCCGGAAAAACAAAAACAAAATCCCAGTAACTTAACCGGGTTTAATCTGACATCACCTGAGTTAACCTAACCTTAAACGTCCAGGTGTTAAAAGCTCAGGTGGTCAAGGTGTTATTTCACCCAGGGAGCCGAGAGGTAAACTACTCAATTCCTCTCCACAGTACAGTGATATTGTCCACACACACACACACCGTAACTTACAGTGACCTACTTCTGCACCACACTGTCAATTGTCACGCTCAGTATTGATGTCAGTAAATGGGAAACGAACCTAAAATAACAAAAGTATAAATTTTACCAGGATAGACGAACGCAACACTACCGCTAAACAAGGACGGTCCGTGTCAAGAGATAAAACGCACCTAAAGACATTAAATTTAACCACGATGTACGAACAGCACTACGGACATACAGTAAATCCCCTCCCTAACTTCCCTGGGCGAGAGGAGGGGTTAAAAGGGATGGACCAGCACACAGTTCACTACGGCACTTGGTTCACTTGGTTAACGAGCACCGTGTGTGTGTGTGTGTGTGTGTGTGTGTGTGTGTGTGTGTGTGTGTGTGTGTGTGTGTGTATGTATGATGTATGTAGTAGATAATTACCTACACCTATGAGTTTACCTGTACAACACCTCGACAATTTTTCCCCCCATGTCGTCACAGTTATTTCCTTTCCTTTCAATCCCTTCTCTTCCACATCCTTTCATCCACCCATCCCTCCACCACCCCATCAATCTCACCACCCATTCCCTCTCCACTCTATCGTCACCTCTTCCATCTCTTTATCCCCACATCATTACCCCCCTCCTCCTCCTCCATCTCTTTCCCTCCACGCTATCGGCACCTCCTCCATCTCTTTATCTCCACCACATCAGTCTCCTCTCCCTCCTCTTTATCTCCACCCCATCTGCCTTCCCTTTACCTCCGGGCCATCAGGTTGCTCCCCTGACCTGAGGGTGGCTGGGGCCCAGAAGCCTCTCCACCCGGAATAAAATTTGAGGAAATGGTCTGTGGTAATTTTAGCTGGGCTTGTGTGACCTCCCCCCAGTGACCTTAACTCTCGTCGACACCACCACAGCACAGACACATACCACAGCACATCACATCACACCATCAGCACATCACACCATCAGCATATCACATCATTAGCACATACCATACATCCCATAACATACTTAAAACAACATACCACGGCATATACTATACAGCACATCACACCAAACACACTACCTCACATCACACCATCAGCACATACCACATATCGCATAATACACCACGATATACCACCACCACACGCACACACAATACATTGTCACCACACAACTCATCACCACACACAACAAACAGCACTTCCATACACCACACGTTACCATCATACACAATACAACACCACACAACATCACACACCACAACACGCCACCATTACAAAACACACCAACACAA